GAACAGCCGTGAGGAGAAGGACTTGGGATACTGGTGGATGAAAAGCTGGACATGAGCCGGCCGTGTGCGCTGGCAGCCCAGAAAGCCAACCGTATCCTGGGCTGTATCAGAAGTGTGGCCAGCAGGTTGAGGGAGAGGATTCTTCTCCTCTGTTCTGTGCAGCTTCACCTGTAGTTCTCCATCCAACTTTGGGACCCCTAACATCAGAAGGACATGGACCTGTTGGAGCAAGTCCAGAGGAGGCCACAGAGATGCTCTGAGGCCTGGAGCCCCTCTGCCATGGGGACAGGCTGAGAGAGTTGGGGTGTTCAGCCTAGAGAAGGGAAGGCTCTGGGGAGACCTTAGAGCCCCTTCCTGTGCCAGGGGGGCTACAGGAAAGCTGGGGGGGACTTTTTCCAAGGGCAGGGAGTGACAGGACAAGGGGTAACAGGTTTAAACTGTAATAGGGAGATTGAGATGGGACATCAGGAAGAAATTCTTCCCGCAGAGGGTGGGGAGGCACTGGGACAGGTTGCCCAGAGAAGCTGTGGATGCCCCATCCCTGGGAGTGTCCAAGGCCAGGCTGGATGAGGCTTGGAGCAACCTGGGCTAGTGGTAGGTGTCCCTGCCCATGGCAGGGGTGGGACTGGGTGGGCTTGATGGTTCCTTCCCCCCCAAACCATTGTGTGATTCTAAATACTTCCTCCAAACTAGCAAATTTCTGAAAATGTTTAGAAAGCTTGTTTTGCTTATGATTTGTGAAATAAAAAGTATTAATGAATTACATTCAAGATCATTCAGATGCTCCATCTTACCGTGTTAATATGTGATAAACTTGCTGGTTTCTGGCACTACATTTCACTTCCTATATTTTATTTTCATGTGTTAAAGCTATGCAAGAGGAGGCACTGAAACTTGTATTACTGGCACTGGAAGATGGCTCTGCACTCTCAAGAAAAGTTCTGGTACTTTTTGTTGTGCAAAGGCTAGAACCAAGATTTCCTCAGGCCTCTAAAACGAGCATTGGTCATGTTGTGCAGCTACTGTATAGGGCATCATGCTTTAAGGTAAAATACCAATATTTGAAGTTTGTTACTGTGAAATAGTGCAGTGCCACAGAACCCTACCTTGGATTAGTATCTTTCACCAGTAAAATGTTACATAAATTCAGCTTCTACGCATTTAAATTGTGTAGGTTATAAGATTTTATCTCGAACTGACATGAAATGGTTGTTTGATATTTAAAAATCCCTGTAGAAGGAACAAATTGTCACATGTGCAATTGGCCAGAATAGATTCTGGAATTATTGCCCTGATTTTCAACTGCTGCCCACTCTGTGAAAGTTCTCCCCTGAACGAGACGTGAAGCCTGGCTCCGTAGGCACTCCTAGCCTGCTTCTGGAAGAACTGACGTGTTTGAATAAAATCACATCTGATTTTATTTAGATTCATGAGTTGGCCGTGGCCAGACGTGCCATACTGGCCTGGGTGCTCTCAAAGCTTTGAATCCAATCCCCGCATTCTAAAGAAAACTTTTGGAATACTGTAGTCCTGGGAACTTCCCCAGCCCCAGCGGCCCGCATGAGAGGGTCACTACACACAGAGCCTGACTGCGGTGTTGTGTTCCCACGCATTGGTCACTCGCTCCGTTTTCTTTTGTCTCCTTGCATTGAAGAGGTGCTTTGTTTTTGTATATAGAGGTGGGTTGTTTCAACTGAATATTCCCAACTCTGTATCTGGAGAAGAATGAGAAGTTAATTTCATGGGTCTTGTTTTTTACCTGTGATTCAAAAAGAAAAAATGGTTATCACAACATCATTAAACTAAACATTAAAATAATGAGACCTGTCGCTCTCCTTTATGACAAACATCTTCTGTTAGCTCAAGATTTTTACTTAACATTTATAATGGTCTCTCAGTTAAATATTCTGTTCTTTAAATGTCAGCGTTAAATTTTTTCTTCCTTTTTATTATTTAAGTTACTTCTAGAGGCGTTCCTGTTTCTTTAAGTCATCCTTTAATATTACATAGCAAAATCTACTAGTAGAACTGCTACCTCCCATAACATAAATGTAATTACTTTTCTAATTGGAAGCAGTGAGCTGGGATGGGTTTGCACCTGTGATCCTGTAAAAAGTTGGTGAGCTGGCTGCTCTGCCTGTGCACTGCTGGCTGAGAGGATGAATGGATGAAAATCAAGTGTATAATGAACATACCAAGGCAATACTTTTGTCTTTTCTGATGGGCTTTGAGATCTTTTGTTAAAAGAATTTTAACTATTATTGTTGATTAGGTCACTAAAAGGGATGAAGATTCTTCTCTGATGCAACTTAAAGAAGAGTTTCGGAGTTATGAGGCTTTGCGGAGAGAACATGATGCTCAAATTGTTCACATTGCCATGGAAGCAGGACTCCGAATCTCACCAGAACAATGGTCTTCCCTTCTTTATGGTGACTTGGCACATAAATCGCACATGCAATCCATTATTGACAAGGTTCGTTAAGGGGATGATTTACTGTCTTTGTAGGATTAGATTAAATCTTGTAATAAAAATTCAGAGTTGACTTTTTTCTTTAGTTATACTAAATATTAATTAGAATGAAGGTTTTTTCCCCCACTGTAGTGTGTTCTTCATATGAAGACATTCTGGGTTTCAGTAGTTTAAGATTAATTCCTGTTTTTTGTGTCTTATGATGAAGCTTCATAGGGCAGATTCTGAGCTGAGAAATAAAATTTCTCTCCACTGATACTCTATGCCATCTGAAGACACTACGTATTGCCTTTAAGAATCAGTGTAATGAACATCTTTTTAAGTTTAGTAGTTCAAAACTGTAAGATGCAGCACACTAACGCTCACTTTGTTTTCAGCTCCAATCTCCAGAGTCTTTTGCAAAGAGCGTACAGGAATTGACAATTGTCTTGCAGCGCACGGGGGATCCTGCAAACTTAAATAGGCTGAGGCCTCATTTGGAGCTTCTGGCAAACATAGATCCAAATCCAGGTATGCAAATGAAGCTTTTTAAACATTTATTGACACACACCCCCCCCAATATCTAGCAAATTAAGATGATAACCTCCATTCTGGTTTCAAAAGTCCCATTATTTAACATAATGTATCACAAACTCTTCTTCAGGGCGCTCTGAGTTCTGTCCTTGTACTTGTTGTCTTGAGTTACTAGAAGAGTTGCCTCTTATTTATGATACTACTGGAATTATTGACAGAATGATAACCCTGCTTTTAATAATTTAAGATGCAGCATCTCCAACGTGGGAGCAGCTGGAAAATGCAATGGTTGCTGTAAAGACTGTGGTACATGGGCTGGTGGATTTCATTCAGAATTACAGTAGGAAAGGCCATGAGACTCCACAGGTAACTATATTCTGTCACTGCATGCCGTGCTATGGAACGAAATACTCCTTCGGTCCGTTTAAGTCAGCTGTCTGAACTGTGTCCCCCCTACACTGCTTGTAGCAAGAAAGTTGGGAACACAGCAGCAGTCTCAGAAGCTGAGAAAGACTTGGAGTTTGGTGCAGGCGCTCCCCAGCAGCAGCTAAAAAGAGACCTTTTTCTCAGGGTAGATTCAGAAACCCAGCTTCATACCAGCCACTGTGAAGTTAACTGTTTCCTGACTAAAACCAGCACAAACGTGCATTTACTGAAAGATGCAGCTTGGAAAAATTACTATTAATTTGAAACATTTATGGCCTTTTCTGTGGAATAATTGATGATACTGTTATTTACTGCATTCAGGCTTTGAAAACTTAACACTTCTGAACATGGAATGCAGCAGGACTTGCTGTAGTGAGATCATACAGTGGCGTAGTACTTAGCCCATCAACAGGAAATTTCCTTAGTTTTCTGATTAAGGGTGCAAAATGTAGGAACATGTCATGACGTGCTTTTTAAGCCTATTTTGATGTAAACATATGTTAGATTGTAAGAAGAACGTCTTGTGCGGTGTTTTTCTTTTTTAAGCCACAACCAAATAGCAAATACAAAACAAGTATGTGCCGAGACCTTCGACAGCAAGGAGGATGTCCAAGAGGAACAAACTGTACATTTGCTCATTCTCAGGAAGAGCTTGAAAAGTGAGTGTGGGAGACTTTTTTTTCTTTATAATTTAAATCCAAGCAATAGAATTTTGAGAACAGTTTTTTCTATGCATTTATTCATTTGGAAGGGTTTGTGAATAGCTTCAAGTGACAACTCTTTACATGAATTTGAAGGTATAGTAAAGCAATGTCTGCAGACTTTTTATTTTTTATTTTACTCCATATTGAAGTAAATGTCCTGTCCTGAAACTGAGTCTAGACTCTGTGTCTGTCAGGAATTTCTTAGATCACCTACAAGAGAGAGTATGTTAATTACATTTTAATAGATTAAGGCATGAAGTGAGTTATTTGAACAGTATGGAACATGTGCATTCTTGGAGCTGTTTTCACCCAAATCCATCTTTGAAGAACTGCAGAAGTGGATCTCCTGAGAAGAGAGATGATCTTTGGGTAGAGGGAAGACATTGAAGTTCTGTTTGCAGATTGCTGAAAATAAGCACCAGTTTTTGAAGTCGTGTAAATTACAGATACCATGTTCCTCTCAATCCCTTCCTTTTGCCAGTTTTACAAATACCGTAAAGCTCACAATAAGCACTTTTTAAATTGTCTTTTGTATGTGTGTTTATGTATAGGTATCGCTTGAGGAACAAAAAAATCAGTGCAACAGTGAGAACATTCCCCCTTCTAAATAAAGTTGGCGTAAATAGCACCGTCTCAACCACAACAGGAAACGTGATTTCTGTCATAGGCAGCCCTGAGGCAACAGGGAAGATGGTGCCAAGTACTAATGGAATAGCTAGTCTAGAAAGTGGTGTTCCTCAGCTGATCCCTCGCTGTGCGGACACCTCCCTGAGAGCTTTGGAGAACACCAAGAAGGGAGGGAAGACTGGAGCCAATGGCCAGAGTGTTTCTGGATCCCCTACAGAATCACTACCTGAAAAGTAGGTAACTTTTTTTGTAATGGTAACCACTCACAGCATTTTGCTTTTAGGTTGTCATGGAGTCAGTGGATGGCAAACAACAGAGTGAATTCTGGTCCTGGTTTGCTGTTGTTGCTGGTGCTCACTCGCTGCAGAGTTGTGTAAGATCTTGTACTGCAGTGCAGATATCATTACACAGTCTCTGGATTCAAGTTGTCAGAGCCAGCATTGGTTGTTTAGCTGTTGTGTACTCCTGTACAATATAGATAAACTGGTAAATCTCTCCCTTTATCCTGTTGTTCTCAGCCTGGTATCTTACATACTATTGGGTTATTACATAAATGATGAAACAAAAATCTGACACTCAAAATGTGGCATTTCCTGAAGCCAGGAAAGGTGCATGTAGTGCGTAGGCCCTTAATGATCCTGGAAACCTTCTAGTTTTGGGGGTTTTCCCTTTTTAGATACTTCTCCAGGAAGCACTGAGCTTCTAAATAACTCTTCAAAGCCTTTGTCTTTGCCAGAATACACTTACAAGTGGTGTGTAAGCTTCTGGGTGCATACTGAAACATTCTTGTCCATGTTTGAGTTCTCTTAGGAAAAAGTCTGAGATGTAGCAGTAGTATTAGTTTGGGGTATGAAAACTAAAATTCCAGAGGAAATATGTGGCCTGAATTTCCGCATTACATGGGAGTGTATACGAAGAGATGACTAACTGAAGTAAGTAACGATCTGCTTAATGATTTCTTGGTAATCCTTTTCAGTAAAATTGGTTCTCCACCCAAGACTCCTGTAAGCCAGGCAGCAGCTACCTCAGCTGGTCCTCCTAATATTGGAACAGAAGTTAATTCTGTGCCTCCAAAATCCAGCCCGTTTGTTCCCAGAGTACCTGTCTACCCTCCACATTCTGATAATGTTCAATATTTCCAAGACCCCAGAACTCAGCTGTCATATGAAGTTCCACAGTACCCGCAGACAGGTGAGTGAGATCAGCACTGAACCGGAAGTAGCTCTGAACTTTCCTCAGCTTTCAGGCTTATCTGGCGAAATAACTTAGGTTTGTGGATTTTTAATTTTTTTTAATATTAGCTGAATCTTCACTTAATGGAATACTAATTTGGCCCATTGCAGAATATGGGAGGGACCTGGAGTTTGCTCCCAGTGTTGGTGGTTCTTGTCTCTGTGTATGTTATGCAACTTGTACATCAGTATCCAGAAGAACTTGAACTTCAAGGTCTTTCATCTGCTTTTTCCTTTGTTAGCAGTTAATTGTATTTATTTAGGCTTGCTCATCTCGTGCCCTGTCTGTGAGGGTATCCACAGACAGGATTCAGATTCAGTGGTATAGCATGATTCTGCTGCGAGACTTACACACCTTTGTGCTTGCCTAAATGTTTTTGAAAGGTTTCAGTCATCCTTTTAGGTTACAATATGCACGTTTATATTCAAGCAATTAGGTGTTCTAACACTGGGTCATTTACAAGTTCTCAACACACAAGGTAGAGGTGTTCAGACAATTCCCTCCAAAGGAACAATAGTAAGCCAAGTGTGAAATGGTTATTTATGGATCTTTGGATTATTTTTTTAAGCAATATAGTTTTCTTTTTTAGAGAGAACTATTTTAACTTCCTCTATAAAGATGTTCTTAAGATGCTGCCTTTTCAGTCACCTAGTTACACCACAGTATAAGGAGCAATGGCAGAAACTCCCTTTTCCAGTTGGCTTAAGGTGGTAAAGGGTCAGCACTACGTCTGCAGATATGGTTGTCATAGGTGAAATCATATTCCACAGTAAAATGATCGGGTTGTAGAGTGTGACTCTTCGTTCTCTAAAGGTAGATAATTAGCACTATTTACCGTATTAGAAGGTGTAAGATTCTGGGTCATTTGTGGTTACATTAAATATGCCTTTTTCCAATTTTTAAGGATATTATCCACCACCTCCAACAGTACCAGCTGGTGTGGCTCCCTGTGTTCCTCGCTTTGTGAGGTCCAATAACGTTCCAGAATCCTCCCTCCCACCTGCTTCCGTGCCATATGCCGATCATTACAGTACATTTCCCCCTCGAGATCGACTGAATTCTCCTTACCAACCTCCTCCTCCGCAGCCGTATGGACCAGTTCCTCCTGTCCCTTCTGGAATGTATGCTCCAGTTTATGACAGCAGGCGCATCTGGCGCCCGCAGATGTACCCACGAGATGATATTATTAGGAGCAATTCTTTACCTCCCATGGATGTGATGCACTCATCTGTCTATCAGACTTCATTACGTGAGAGATACAACTCTCTGGATGGGTATTACTCTGTGGCTTGTCAACCTCCAAACGAGCAGAGGACTGTGCCTTTACCAAGGGTAAGTGAGAGCCAGAAAGGAGAGGGATGTAGTCTTGATTCTGACAGTCATGTCTGAAGAGTTGGTAAATAATTAGCACAGAGTGCTTCTGTTTCTTTGGAGTTACAGCAGTCAAGACATGAGACCTGCACAAAGTTCTTGGTTTCAACCTTAATAAAATGGGCTTGTAAAACAGACCACTCTAATCTGGGTTAGGACCAGAGCCCCTCTGCCTCTTTAATTCCCATGCATGCTGCTTGAATTAATTGCATATTTAAGATTTGAGTTGCCGTACATCGGCCAGGTTCTCCCCTAGATACTTGTGAAATTCTTCTGAGAATACCAGTGGAAGGTTAGACCCAAGGGAATTTGGGGGTCCACATGTGTCACCTGCAAGTATTTCCCTTCTGGTTAGAGGATGATAGGATACACAGTTCTGTATTTATTATTGCTAGGAGCCTTGTGGTCATTTGAAGACTGGTTATGATGAGCAGTTAAGACGGAAGCCGGAGCAATGGGCACAGTACCACACGCAGAAAGCTCCTCTGGTATCGTCAACCCTTCCTATGGCAACACCATCTCCAACTCCACCTTCTCCTCTCTTCAGCGTAGATTTCAGCACAGAGGTGGGAAGCCTAAGAAATTCTTTATTTTCCCTTCCTGTTTCTGTAAGATGCCGTGTAATATTTCTAGTAAAGAATTTCTACCTGCCGTCTGGTTTTCATAAGATTAATATTTTGGCTAAAGGGAAGCAATATCTAATAAGGAATGCATTCGGTTTTATGTCTATTAAGGTGACGCTAAACATGATTGCTGAAAAAAAATTAAGTGGAAAAGTGATTCAGTTTACCCTCACTGAAGGAAATTTTGATTTCATTGAACTAGCTTTGTGAACCTCCAGGTTTTTGGGTGGGGAACAACAATTGTTTTCCATTAAGAAGGACTTTCTCTTTTATACTCCAAATGGCATTATTAGACTGAATCAAGCTGTAAGTGCTTGTCAAGTTCCGCAGAAAGTGGCGAAGGGCATTGGTAGAACACTGTGTGCTTAGGGCATAAATTCTGTAAGCAAGAGTGGAAACTCAATAAATAGAGTTGGTGTGCATTTAAAGAAGAAAAATATCTTGTGATACTTACTTTCTCTATGTGTAAATTAAATGCATCCAAGAAACTAATTCAGGAACCACAGTGCCAAGCACTCTTTGCTGTGGTTTGACAGTTCTGTTGATGTTTGAGGTGCTATACTGCGATTATTCAGAAAAGGTCCTGTAAGGTACATGAAGTCCCTACGGGTGCATTCAGGGCAGATCAGGATTTAGTTCTTTTCACTCAGGCTGGAGGTTTCCAGGTCATACTTCTATCTACCACTGGCTTACACATTTTCCCTTAATGTATGGCTTCCTCTCAGTTTAATTACTGCAGGTATTTGCCTGAAGAAACCTGCCACTAACACAGTGACACTGATTTCAGTCTCTCATCTTGTCAGACCAGGCAGTTATGTGCAGTGGCAAAGCTGGAATATGGCTAGAGCTCCTTGATTGACTCTTGAGATAATTTAATTAAATAGCAGTAAATGTCTTTTCTTATTTTAAGACTGAATTCCCTGTTTTTATTATTCACTGCTTATTTATTCATTTTTCCGTAGTTCTCAGAGAGTGTCAGTGATTTGAGTGGAACTAAATTTGAGGAAGACCATCTCTCTCACTATTCACCGTGGTCTTGTGGCACTATTGGCTCTTGTATAAATGCTATCGACTCAGAGCCCAAGGATGTGATTGCCAATTCAAATGCCGTGTTAATGGTAGGGGTTTTCTGCATGTTATCTCACTAGTGTAATGATGCTTACATGCCACGTGTCTTCTGTTGGGTTAAGCAAGCTCTTTTCTTTCTTTTTTTTGAAGTTGATAGCTTCTATTCTTGGTATTTTAAAGCAGTTCTCCACATTTGAGGTAATTTGTGCCATCATTTCCCAGTTTTGTAAATAAACGATGTATTTACTTCAGTGACTGAATGTAGTGCCATGAATGAAATTCTCAGGTGTCTGAAAAATACTATTTTAATAACAGAGCTCTGTAAATCAAAATTATAGTCAAAATATTTGGTGTAAATATTTGGTCTGTAAACTGGTAAGAATTCATTAATTTTACAAGTGTTCTCTGATGATTAGGATGGGATCAAATATTTTGACTTCTTAATTTGGTTTGTCCCTGCTCAGAGTTCTTCTATGTAAATGTCTGTGTGTACACATGTGTGTGTACACCTGCATCCTTACCATTTCTGAGGCTTCTAAAATTGTCTCAGGATACGTTGCAGCAGCAGGCTTGTCTGGTTGATACAGGGTCGGTGGGGCCAGCTCAGAGCAGGTGCTTCCATTGCAGAAACACATTTCCTCTTTGGCTTAAGCGCAATAGTCCATCCTGTATGAATGAATCACTGGCCTTTTCAGGATTCTAAGGCCTGTTACAGTGCCGTTGTTTTGGAAAACGCTTAATTTGAAGTCAATCCCAAGAGCAATATACACTCCCAGAGAGAAGTTGAAGTACTGTGGACCCAGGATGATCAGCATGAACTTAATCTTGGCTGCTTTGCACCCCCAGAGAATCTGTATGAACTATCCTCGTAGACACCTCTTCACTTGGTTGGAAGGCACAGTCTTCTCTAATAAAGAGTTTAATGCAAACAAATCTGTGAAAATAAATCTTTTTTCTATCACCCAATTTCCATGACAGAAGAAAAAGTAATTGAAAGAAATGAGTGTAACCAAATCTCATCCCAATCTGTCTTTGACACTGCCTCCTTCAAGTGTAGGAAAGGGTACTGAAGGACCTTAAAGCATACTGGAACTTTTTCTGCCTGGAAACACAAGCCTGGAAAAGGAAAATTGTTCTAGTGCACTGGCACTAACTTTCTGATAGTCAGTTTGACATTAAAAGGTCAGTAGTTCAGTCACTGCAGCCCATTTTGGCTCTCTAGTTGGATAGATTTTTCAGCATATATCCAGCAACAATAATCAGAAACTTACTGGCCAACTGAATAATCTGAATAACCCAACTGAGTCCATGAATCTTCTTCTGTCTCCTGAACATGTAGGATTTGGACAGTGGGGATGTTAAAAGAAGAGTGCATTTATTTGAAACTCAGAGAAGGGCAAAGGAAGAAGATCCTATAATCCCCTTTAGTGATGGACCCATCATCTCCAAGTGGGGTGCAATCTCCAGGTCATCCCGCACGGGTTATCACACAACGGATCCTATTCAGGCCACTGCTTCCCAAGGAAGTGCTACAAAGCCCATCAGTGTATCAGGTACAAGTCCAGGCTCTGTATGACAATATAGTGTGCATCATGAGCATCCTCTTCATGCTCACTACTGCAGAGGAGATGCAAAGAGCTAAAATACCTACATATCCCACTTTAAGAACAGGGAAGATAATGGTATCTCAATTTATTACAGATTATGTCCCTTACGTCAATGCTGTTGACTCACGATGGAGTGCCTATGGCTCAGATTCTGCTTCATCGGCACGTTACGCAGAACGGTATGGGCTTCACTTTGTGTTCTGCTAAAGCATTTTTTATAGTTTGTTCTTCAAAATCCTGAGTGTGGGGGGGAAATCTGGATCTATTAATAGATATCCTTAATTTTGAAGTAAAAGATTTTTTTCCTATCCAGTATAAAGCCTTGGAAAAACTACATTAAAACTTGTGTAGTCTTTAATAATTAATACCACTAATAATACCCAATTACTACTAGCGTCTCTCTTGAGACATAATCAAAGAACTGGAGTCAGGAACTGCCAAGCTGTCATGTCAGAATCTGCAACCTTGAGTAGTTTCTCTCAAGTTTTCTTGCCACATCTTACCCATGTGTGAAATACAGACGTTCTTCGTATAATCCCTTGGGGTGTTGTGAGCCCCAATGAAAACAAAGAGCATGTTATCTTAGTCACACGGTTTTTGTCCAAAAATCTAGCATTGATAGACTAGTGACATTCTGGGGGGCCTTTGATGTAGATAATGTGGTTAATTCCTAGTTTTGCCTTCTTTCTCTTAAAGGGACAGGTTCATAGTTACCGATTTGTCTGGTCACAGGAAGCATTCCAGCACTGGAGACTTATTGAGTATTGAATTACAGCAGGTAAGATCACATATTATACCATGTGGTTTCTTTTAATTAAGAAAAAGTGATTTGGTAAAAGGATTTAAAATAAATTTTCTTAGTGTAGCCTACAGAAAATAGTACAGTTAACAAAATGATCAGTGACTTAACTGGATAGTCATACTGCAACACATGGTATGATGCATAAGGACTGCTAACCTGAGCTGTTCCATTGGCAGCAGTAAGACCATTTTTGGGAGAAAGTGGTGGGCCTGATAAATGTCAGCAAATGCAGCCTGCACTTGGGCCACCACAGCCCCACACAGTGCTACAGGCTTGGGGACGAGGGGCGGCCTCGGCAGTGCTGGGTTAACGGGTGGTCCAACCTGAACAATTCTGTGAAAATAAATGTGGTGCATTAAAGGAGCACACAGTTACCCATCTAGCGAGAGAACTGTTCGTTATTGTAAACTGGTTTGTTTTGCCGTTTGACAATACACGGTTTAAGTGTAGTTGTTGGTAACTGCTATGTTTGTTTCCATAGGCCAAAAGTAACTCCTTATTACTTCAGAGAGAGGCGAATGCACTAGCCATGCAACAGAAGTGGAATTCTCTAGATGAAGGCAGTCGCCTTACCTTAAATCTTTTAAGCAAGGAAATCGATTTGAGGAATGGTGAGGTAAAGAAAGGGGTAATTGGGATGAAACAAATATTTTGAGCTTTTTTGCTATATATATGCATGCAGACATTAGTTTTAACATTCCTAAATATTTGTAACACACTATGTACTAGTCACTGTTGCACCAAGTTATCTCTGAGATCAAGTTGCTGCACCAGTCATACATCCATTTATGAGATGGGAAGAATGTGACAATCCATTGTCATGCAATCATTAGTTTTTGTTCTACTTGCACGTTATAAATCTGAACATCCTGATGAGAAATTTCTACTTCAGTATTCATTTTATCTCTGTGTTTCAGTACTTTAATGTGATTAGAATCAGCTTCGTATCCTGTATTGTCTATGCCCAAAGTTCTGTTTGTGTCTAGCTCTTTCCTGTTGTAGAAATGTGTCCTAGAAATGCATCTTTTGTTTTCACTTTAATACTTGAGTGTTGTGTGAAGCAGGTAAAAAGCCAACTTGATATTTACAGAACATACATACTTCTCTTTTTTTAGGCTGATTATACTGAAGACTGTGCAGATACAAAGCCAGACCGAGACATTGAATTGGAGCTGTCAGCCCTTGATACAGATGAACCTGATGGGCAAGGTGAACAGATAGAAGTAAGTACAAAAATGGGTGCACCTAGAGAGGTCACTGGGTCATTCCACTAGCTATTAAACAACCTTACACAATTTCTTTGTGAATTAGTAGATTATGTTGGTAGCAAAGCCTTCTGGTTTAGTCTCTGCAGTGATCCCAAACATCTGCCTTATTTTATCACTAGGGGTCTCATCCTTCTCCCTCAGATAGCTGGCTGTTAGTATTACCCACGTTAAAAGCCTGCTCACCGTGTTCTCTGTGATAGCTTCCAGCGTTTTGCTCTTCTGAGGGCGTTAGTAAGGGTGGGGAGTCTGTTCCTTTCCCCTTCCCCTCCAGTGGTGAAACTGTAGTTCAGAATGTTTTACGTGTAAATGTGAGCATTTAATTTAAACTTTGTGCTCGCCTGATCCTAATAGAAAGTCATTTAAATTACTGTAATCCAGTCTTCTGTTTTCACTTCTTCATTTTTTGTGATTCTGTGTATCTGCCCCAGTTTTGTCTAGGCTATTTTCCCCATTGCTGTGGAGTGGTAAAACGTTCTGGTGTTCACTCCAAGCATTAGGATCAATTGTTCTTTTCTTAAAGCATCGTACACCTAAAAGAAATTAAGGTTTTTATCTGGAACATATTCCATAACACACTCCAGTATTGGCTGTAGCTTTTGTTTGCTCTGCCTGTGGAATGTGATGCAGTGCTGTAGTGTGAATTGCCATTAGATGGATAGAAGGGGCCTTTATCCTTAGCCTTTCCTCTACCCTTGACTGTTGAAACAGCTCTCACTGTCTTTATTGCCTCTTTCGTATCTCAGATGAGAAATCATTTTTTAGCAACTGAAGTTTATAGTCCTGTTGTCATTCACTGCCATCTTTGAATAATTATTTTCCCTATAGTAAAATGCAGCAGACATTCCAGTAGCATGAAATAAAAATCAAGGAGTCTTACGATGAGGTTCCCATTTCCATTAGCTTTATGTAGTGGACCATAATAGAAAAATTTAAATCTGGTAGCAAGAGTATTGATGGACATTTCTCCTTTTCTCCTGTAGGAGATTCTGGATATACAGCTAGGTATTAGTTCTCAAGATGATCAGCTACTCAATGGAACAACTGTAGAGAACGGGCATCCACTGAAGCAGCACCAGAAGGAATCAATGGAACAGAAGAGACAAAGTTTAGGTGAAGACCTTGTGATTCTGTGAGTGTTAGACAAACAGCAGTGTCTGCCAGTGTTAGACAAACAGCAGCATCAGAGTAGTTGAAACATGATTGTTGAGGATGAACTACGTACTACTCAGACTTGGATTAGACATCTGCGTTGTGTAGACACGGTCAAGTAAGAAGAACCTGTTCAGAAATAGAATTAGGTCGCAAATATGAAAGCCACAGGATGGTACCATTGTTTGTATGCGTTGTTGTCATCGTATATACCGAAACGTGTCACAGCTGTTAAAAAACACCTTTCGCATTCAGTAAGCAAAAAATGCAAAATATTTTTATAGCGAACAGAAATTAAGGAAAACTTCAGAAGGTTAAGTGTCATACTGTTTGCACAAATCTCCATAGAGAGGTAGTTTTAAAGATACACTATTTTAGGTTTGTATGTTCTGTAGTCTTTAATGTGTAATGCAGCCTTTGAAGATGAGGCAGACTGCATTTAAGACCTTGAGCGTACCGTTCCATACGAAGATGTTTAGCCTGTTGCTAAAAACGAGTTTATGTCAGTATTTATTTAATGCACACAATTCAGTTCCGGATACTTGTGCATGTACTTGTTTAATATTTGTGTAACTTATTTTTCTCCTCAGGGAGGAGCAGAAAACAATCCTGCCCGTAACTTCTTGCTTCAGTCAGCCGATCACAACATCTGTTAGCAATGCAAGCTGCCTGCCCATCAGCACATCAGTCAGTGTTGGCAGCCTCATTTTGAAAACTGCTCACATTATGTCTGAGGATAAAAATGACTTTTTAAAGCCTGTTGCAAATGGCAGGATGGTTAACAGCTGAAAGGCATTCATCTTTCCAGCTTGTGACCACACCATGGAAGCATTTACACTAGCTTTTTATATATATAATAT